AGCCGATCTGGTACAGTAGCCATATAAATATTAATGTCTGGTAGTTTCCAAAAGCTATTTTGTAAATTAACAAGTGATTAAAGATTGTTTGTTTTTGTTATTATAGCTACTTTCATATTCTCATGTGTATGATAAATAATTTGATCACTAGTTAAATTAATATTTGCAAGATCTTTATTATGAATTAAACATTTGTGATATTTGTGACAAGAATAAGTTGTATTAGCTGATTTGGATATCAAACAGTAATTTGCAGCTTCAAGTAAATCTGATATAATCATCGCAATACGAATATATGTCCAAGTAAGTGTTTATTAATATTCAGCAAAAAACCTGTTGATGATTTTTTATATATAGGTTTTAAAACAATATCTATACAATTTTGAAAAACTTTTTGTAATTCTAATCGATGTTCATCTGACTTTTTTTGATTTTCATTAAGTGATTTAATAATTGGAAATAATCTAACTATAGCTTTTGCATCTTGTTTATTGCATCATTGAGATGGAATATTTCCAAGAGTAATAAATAAAGAATGACATGATATTTTTTCTAATATATTGCAAGTAGTTCTATCTGAATATAAAATTATAGATAAAAGTTTTGATGCTGATGGAAGTTGTTGTTCAGTTCATTTTCACCAATCAGCATTATACATTTCAGCATAATATCGAACTCTTTGATTATTACTATCTATTTCCCAATGTTCTTTGTAATTAAATTCACACTGTTGCATTAAATCATCATTTTGTATTAGCTCTTGAATTGCAAGAATAATTGATCTATTTTCAAAGTAATAATTTGTATTATTATATGTTGAAACTAGATCTTTTTTAAATTGTAAAGTAGGTGTATTAATTAATCTAAGATAATGTCATCCTGCACTAGTTGATTTTGGTAAAGAATTTTGACTTCAGGATGAATATTTTCTAAATACTTTAAGAAAAGCATCTCCTGCCTTATTGCTAATATTATATTTATCTACTACATTCATAAAATCTATAAATGCATTATTAAGTAACTTTGATTCATTAGATATTTTAAAACTTGAATCAAGTTCATAGTTATCACTACTTTCATTCATATAGTTATAATTATCTTCATTTATAGAATTTCTTTTGTTAATATCACTAACCAATTCTTCATTATTAGTTATAATTATTCTATTGCTTGAATTGCTTGAAGAATAAATTAATAAATCTAAATTAGAATTTTTGCTTTCTTCATTCGATATTGAGTATATTTCTATAAAGTTTTTTTGTTCATTATTAAATTGAATTTGTCTTGAAGTATAGTTATTCATAATATCATTTAAAGGTTTAAGTTTATGTTCTAATGATTTTATGTGATTTCTATAACCTTGTGAAGTTTTAAATTCTTTTTTGCAAATTTTGCAAATATATGCCATTTGTATTTATGAAATAAAAATTTAAAAATTAATATTTTATTTTATATTAATAATTAAAATTTAGTAATAGTTTTTGTGATTTATTATTAAACATGTTTGATATTGTAATTGTTCGTAAATCGTTTCACCTTAAAATTCCTACTCGTTAGGGTAAACCGGGAAAGGGTTTGCGTAACATTCAACAAGAATAATGTAATGTCTCGAAAGAGGATATTCGATTTGGCGGAGCCAAGTAGATAGTTTATTAATTATGATGTTTGTGAGACCTCTTATAACTTAATAAATGCTCACACTTATATACTAATTACATATCTACATAATATGCTATATTCGCTAATTATACTAACTAT